AGCCACAGGGGCTGGGCCCCCGCTGCGCTTCTCCTTGCGGGGATAGTGCGGTGTCCGTGCAGGGCGTGGGTGTCTCAGGAGACCCTGCAGCTCGGACACGCTCCTGGGCTCTCAAGCAACGCTTCTGGGCTCAGCCTGAGGAGTGCAAGACGTGGGGACAACAACGCACAGCTCCTGCATCCCCCTGCATGCCAGGAGCATTTCCTCACCGTACCACGGTCACCAGACTCATTGCGAAAGGCTCGTCGCGTTCACTGCTCCCTCCAGCAACTTCCTCCCGCAGCAGGGTCCGTGGGAAGGCAGTCCTGGCAGAAAACACCTTTCTGCCGCCTTCTCCATGTCAGCAATTCCTTCCTCCCTCCCTCCTCCCCTGCTGCATGTCCCAACTCTTCCCAAGGTTGCTCCGGGCTCAGCCCGCCCGCAGACCTCTCTGCCACACACAGTGGAACTGGCTGGACACAGACAAAAGCAAATCACTGGAGAAAACACTGCCAAAGCAACCACAGCCCGGCCCCCACGCCTGCCCCCCACACGCACCCTGCTCCCCTCCAAGAAAATACTTCGCCCTGGTCCCCATGGCTCTGCCTTCTCTAAGGGTGGGAAACTGCTCTGATGCCTTATCAGCAGCTGCTGCCTCATCCCTCCCCTCCAGCCTCTTCCCGAGGGCAGAGCAAACCTCCCACAGCTGCACTTTTATCTCTTCCCAGGTGAAAACACTCAGCCCCTTGCCCCCAGACCTCCCCAGGGGAGCAGGGACCCCCAGCACCCTGCGCTTCTGCTCCGTGCTGCCTGTCCCAGGCTGGCCGAGGAAAGGGTGTTTCCCGGGAGGCAGCTCCGGCAGCTCGCGGGATGCCATCGGCCGAGCACCACATAAGGAAGGCCCACGATCGCAGGCTCCCAGGAAAGTTTCCAAGCCCTCATGTGCGACATGCTTTGCGTTCAGCTGCCAAGAGGATGAATTTCCACTTTCTGCCCTGGAGATGCTTTTCCTAAAAGTCTCACGCAGGCGGGGAAGGTTTGGGATGAGTCTCTTCTACGCAACAAAGCCCTTTCCCCAGGACTTCGGCGAACATCGCTGCCCTGTTGCTCCCTCCCATCATCTCCTGCCTCTGCCGGAGCAGAGACAAAGAGCCGGCTCCGAACGGGACCCACACAGCAGCCCTCCCCATGGCGGGGTGCGGGGAGGGAGCTGCACCTCTCCGCCTGCCTGGAGCGGATTTGGCTCAAATCTCAGGGACTGAGGTAGCAAAAGTGGTGTTGCACGCCCTGGGAACGGTCTGTGTGCTCCAGGCACGGCTCTGCCTGCCAGGCAGGAGAGAAGGGCTTTACCACCTACATTTTGGGCAGAAAACCAGCTTGCTGCAAAGTGCCCCTGAAGCACTGAGGTGCTGTTTGGCTGCTCTCTCCCACCTCCTTCTGAAAGCAGTGTGATGCTGGTCCCCTCCGCAGGGCAGGGAACCTCCCTGCTCCCCACTCCGGCACGGGGACGAGGGCTGCACGCAGCCCCCCTCTGCA